TCTAAAGTACATTCGATTCATGTACAATTTCGAGTAAGTTAAAGTTTAAATCCACGCTTTTTAAGCCTCAAAAAATAATTTATAATTAGTAATTATGTTTTATTTCTCAAGCTTAAGACACCCTATAGAACGATTCTGTAGCATTAGCTTTATTAAATAAATCCATGTGATCTTTTGAAGAGAACATCGAAAATATTTCATATCTTAATTCAAAATGTCACTGTTATAATTTTGAGATTTTTCATTGATGTGACTCATGACATTAATTATTATCAAGAGCCAAATGCCAAAGATAATTGTTAATTGCAAAATATCCGAGCCGAAAACTTTTGAACAATTTAGTTAGCTATATAATTATTGTAATTATAATAAAAAAAAAATGAAAAGCGGATACCACTTACCACCAAGTACGAGTAACAGCTAAGGTCAAGAAACTGGTATAACTAAGAGGCATTTTGCACATGTTTTAGCAATAATTAAAAAATGCGCCAGGAATGTCGACCCAGTTGACATTCCTAACCGGTAAAATGTTGCAGAGGCAACGCTCAGCCATTACGAAAACACATGTTTACTTATCGCACAACGAATATACAGGGTAGCCCATCGAAAACGTACCGCAAGGCATTACAGGGTAGTAATAAACTTTTCGGCAAAATCCAAAAACAGGTAAAGTTTGCTTCTGAGGGGGACAACTTTTGGCGCAAAAAGCATAGCAAAATCTTCAACCCCCTAAGTGGGGGTCAAGTGGGGGGTCATTAGAAAGGGCTTTTAATTCTCTATACATCGATTCTTACCTTTTGAAAATCGATCCATTATTTTAGGAAATATGCAGCTTTGATAATACGAACAATATTTTTGACGAGAAATGCGAAAATCGATTTAATTTTACTTCAAAACTTACGGTATTAGCTTGGTAAATTCCTTCAAAAGAATTCGCTGTTTTTTTTCTGATTTGCGAATTCTTTAGCCTCATTTTGATAAGCAAAAAATTGTCCGCTTTTAGTTTCGTATTTAGATAGGCCACAAGAAGTTGCTAGATAACTGTCTTGTGACTTTTAATTGAAGAGTACCAATACTGCCGAGTCTTTTAAATTGATTAATTATGGTGTACTCAATTCCAGAAAGAGTAGAAATTATTGAGCTTTTTTTCAAAAACAATGAATGCGGAAATCGATAATTTCCTCTTTGATGTGTATTTTTCGGACGAGTGTACGTTCTTCTTGAATGGTTTAGTGAATCGCCATAATTGTCGTTACTGGGCTGATACCAATCCAAGAATTTTCCATGAGACACACTCCCAACACCCCCAGAAGTTGAATGTATGGGCAGGTATTTTTGGAAATTCAATTGTAGGTCCTTTTCTCCTTCCTGGAAATTTGACAGGCGATATGTACTTGGATTTACTAAAAAATGTCATCGACCCAGCTCTAACAAATATCATAGAGGACGACTTTGCTTACAATTAACACGAACTGATTTTCCAGCAAGACGGAGCTCCTCCACATTACTCGCTCAATGTGCGCAATTACCTAAATGAGACGTTTCCAGGACGCTGGATAGGACGAAGAAGTGCAATTGAGTGGCCCCCTCGGTCACCCAACTTAAATCCTTTAGATTTCTTTCTCTGGGGGCACATTAAAAGCAAAGTTTACAGCACTCCACCTGATACCTTGGAAGATCTGCGAGGACGAATCATTAATGTGTCGCGAAGTAACACCGCAAGTGCTCCAGAATGTTCGACAACGGTTTGAAGACAACCTGTATCATTGTATGCAAGTTGGCGGACAACATTTTCAGCATTTACTTGACTAATACCGTAAGTTTTGAAGTAAAATTAAATCGATTTTCGCATTTCTCGTCAAAAATATTGTTCGTATTTTCAAAGCTGTATATTTTCTAAAATAATGAATCGATTTTCAAAAAGTAAGAATCGATGTATAGAGAATTAAAAGCCCTTTCTAATGATTTGAAAAAATTTAGGGGATAACACCCCCCTTAGGGGGTTAAAGATTTTGGTATGCTTTTTGAGCCAAAAGTTGTCCCCCTCAGAAACAAATTTGACCTGTTTTTGGATTTTGCCGAAAAGTTCTTTACTACCCTGTGATGTCTTGTGGTACGTTTTCGATGGGCTACCCTGTATAAAGTGTTCTTAGCTCTCGACCCAAAACACATATCTCATAAAATTTTGATTGATGTGATGTAATCACATAAAATATATTTTTCTACAATTCTAAAATAATTGTATTACTTTCATTGCGAATTGCAAATTACACGAATTGTGCGTTTGCCAAGTCATGTGTCAAGAAAATCATTTAGAATACGACTTGATTCTTTCAGTTTCATACTGCAGCTTAAATGTACTGTGATGGAATCTAGTTTAAAAGATAGTAACTGGTTCTAAGAGCCAATTAAAATTAAATTGTGCAGTAATCTTAACCACAATTTTAACCTCATATTAAAGAAAACCACAGCACAGTTTAAAACTGCCCTATTTAAAAATCTAATCTGTGAAATGACCAAAGAATAAAAACAAATAAGCGATTACCAAATCATTGGAAAATAAGGTGCTTTAGTCAACAACCCTGCAAGTTAAAGTTGTCATAATTTTTCCATCTGCATGTACGTAACTGGTACACTGGTTCTGATAGTAAAATATAACCTCTAGCAATAAAAAATTGATTTAAAAAATAGGTTCCAATACTCAAATAACGAATTTTAAAGAGGTGAGAGATACAATAAAACACTTCATCCTAATAAGGATTTTCAATGCATTGAAGTTTTAAAATTTACCGCAAACCACAACGCTCGTCTCGAAAATCCTGTGAACAATTAAACGTGAAGCTTGTAGGCAACGTTGCTGGATAGGAATGTCAGTGGGAGGACATATTTTAAAATTTCTTTGACAGAATAGACAAAATATGTTACGCGTAAATTATGACAGTTAAGTCAGAGATGGTTAAAAAGTTTTCTATTAAAAAGTCATACACATTTTGAATTTCAATTTTTATTCCTATTTAAAAAAAAACTATTAATTACTTGATGTACATAGTACCGCTGTTTAAATTATATGTGTACACCCTGTATATAGTGAAAATATTTAAAATAATATCTATATTTTGGTGAATTTTTACAAATTTATTGTATGCATCAATCTCGGCATTAGTCTATCACATAAGCAGATGTGTTAAGTATTCTGCGTGGTATTTTGTTAGTTGTGAATCATTTTATGCAAAACAAAGTACAAGAATGGGATCTGCTTGAAAAACTGTAAAATATATAATACACAGTTCAAACTTCTTAATTGTTAACAGTTATTAACTGCAGAACGTTAATAATATATATACAGTGCCCTAACATTGCGTCCGGAAGAGGAAATATTTTTTTATTTATAAATTTACGAGAAAATATTTTTTTATAAAAAATCCTGCTTGTTTTCAAATTCTTAAAAATAAAACTACTTTCTTGGTTCTATGTAGGTATAGCGTTATTATTATTTTTTATTTAAAAGTAATCCAAAGCAGTATCCAAATTCTTTTAAATGCAGATGAGTCTTACTAAAAAGGCGGGTATCCATTTGTGTCAAATGCCCCGTAACGTAAACCGAACATGTTACGTTACAGCTAGTGGAGACGGAAAATTGTTGCATGGTACGTGTAACAAAGACACGCGTAACTAATCCGGGACGAACCATCAGTTGTCGATTTTTGGTCGTCGCATCAAAGGGATGCAACAGTACTTTCTGCCACATGTTGAGACGGGGTTACCATTTTGGCCGTAACGTTGTCTATTGCACATGTGATTTTGTCTTATTTTTTGTTTCTTCAGTCTTTCGTTTATGGTCTGGGGTCAGTCTGTTTTGTGCAGTCACTAGGAAGAGTGTGTTTTTCTGTGTTTGTGCCACGGAGTGGAGTAAAGAAAAGATTTCCGGAGATTTCCGTTTCTTATTCTTTAAAATTGTGTGATGAATAAAAATATATTATGCTGCAGCTAACTGCAATTGCAGTGACGAATCCATTATTGCAGTCAGGTTCATACTGCGATTTTATGTTCCTATGTCGTCTCGTAACCTTATTTTGTTATGTTACGGAATGAATGATACGACCAAAACCACACATACTTTCGCAGCGAACCGTGTCACCTTTTGCAACAGGCCGTAACATGTTCGTTGTTACGTTACGGAGCAATGCCACAAATGGATACCCGTCTTAAGAGATATTCTTAGGAAATCCCAAAAGGGTTACAAATACGAAGTTTCAATTATTGTTTTCCAAAAAAAAGTTAGCCTTATTTCAAATCAGTAAATCGTCTTGGATACACTCAAGATTATCGTAATTAAGCCGGAAACTGATTAACAAATACTAATTAATTAAAATTCAATGAATTCAGATTTTGACTTCTGGGAAATCCTTTCCCAATATCTGAACACCCTGAAAGAAATATAAAAAAAACAATACTATTTGCAATGTTATAATACTAAGCAAGTCCCAATATTTAAAATAACTAAACTAAATGCAATACATCCATAATCCAATAATGAAAAAGAAAAATTCATTAAAAATTAAAAATCTTGAAGTTTCGATCTGATTTCGATGGATTTTTATTAATTCTGATGTGGTATGAAATAAGATAATTATTTTTTTACAAAACAATAAATTACCTTTAATAATGTTTTCTAAATTTGTGTGATGACTGCATTTGAATACTGTTTATTTATTTGAGTTGTACTATTTTACTACCTTTTTCAACTTAATTAATATAAACAATTTAAATACAATGTAGGTGTAATAATTTACGGTACCATATATATTTTTCCGTGCTCCTACAATTTTCATGAAATTTCTGACATTTCGAAAAATTGTAATGAAGTTAAATATATGTACAATACACGTTTTTGGAAATGTGCGACACAAACTGTACCCAGTCTTATTTTCTATATAAATTGAAGTCAACACCCCGTATAGCGGGATACGCCGCACGAGTCTATGCGTGCGAATACTTACTTAGGTGCCTCAGGGTTCATACGGAGGGCCACTCCTGTGATTTGCTAGCGTTGTTGGCACTGGAACAAATGCATAAAAGTTAGTCGGACGATAATTACTGTATTTACGGATTTATTAGCTATGCCAACAAGGCGAGAAGCAAGTTCATTATACGTCGGCGAACGTACGTAAATTATAATGTGCGGATTGGTATGTGTGGGTAATGAAATTTAAAAATGTATAAATGTAATATGCATTTGCGGAATGCGTGTTACGGATATGTAATTTAGAAGTTCGCATATGTGACAGATGGTGATATAAAATAATGCATTAATAGGTAAATGCTAATGCGCCCATACAACTTTAATAGGAAACTCCCCCTAAATTAAAAAATAATGAGCATTTTCAATGAACACGTTCAAATTTAGTTTTACAATTTTTTCGGTTAATACAATTTCAACAATTTTTTGTTAAAATTTCAGTAAACTTTGGGGCATTCCACGCCAAATCGCTGAGGTCCCATTTAATACCCATTTAGAGTAGCTTTCTTGATTTTTTTCAAATTTTTATTTCAACCCCTCAAGAAGTTATGAGCATTTGAATATTTTGGGTAAACATTTTTCAAAAAAATTGTCGTTAATAAGCATGACACAGATTCTAGAGTGCGATCTATTTTACTCAATTTTTTTTCCAATTAGTTTTTTTTGTTTTTTATTTTTTTACAATTAAAGTACGCTATTAAACCAAATTTCATTATAGAAGTAAATTGCGATGCCTAATTACTAAAAATCCCATATTTTTAAAACTACTTATGCTAATACTGTCATTAAATATTTAAATTATTATTTTTTTCAATATTAAGAAGTTTGTTTTGCATGATGCCATAATACTTATTATATTTTTGACCATTTGTACTTAGTAAAAACATTTATATATAGACAGATTAACGACAAAATAGAAAAAAATGAATTTCTAGAACGGATTCGATTTCGTCGTTAACATATCCATACAGGATGTTTCATAATAGTATGTGTTTATTCAGGGGGTGAATTTGCGCATGATTTTAAGTCAAAAAAAATCACTATAAACATATGTCCATAAATGCGTCGTTACTATGGTACAGGGTGTTAAAATTTCAATAACTTTTATTTTTATTTGTATCTTCCACAGTTTTTGAGATATGTAGCTCAAATTTGGAATGTATGCTAAATTAGATTACCTGCATCATTAACCCTTCCTAATAGTTGTCACGATCTATAATAGGGTGATATTTTCTCTGGGGTCGGGCCTCTTTTCAGCCCCCAATACAAAGAATAAACAGAAAAATTATTGAAACTTTTAACATACTGTACCATGGTAACAAGCATTTACGGACTTATGTTTATATCAACTTTTTTTACTTAAAATCAGGCGCAGTTTAATAGCGTAGGTACATTATCTGTAAAAAAAAATAAAACAAAAAATAATTATTCGAAAAAAAATAGAAAACACCACTCGTAAATTTGCATATTGAGAGATGCTTATTTTGAGGATTTTTTCTAAGAAACAAAAGCACTCTATTTCAAAAAGCACTTTTTTTGTTTAAAAATCAAAAAGCACCTCAAAAAACTAAAAATGTATTATTTTTATATATATTTTTTTTTTATAAAACTGCGTCTCAAATTGAACAAAATGAAGAAAAAAGTTTATTATACATTTAGTTTTTGCCAAGTTACAGAATACAGGTGCATGAAAATGTTTTACCCAAAATATTGAAATGCTCATAACTTTTGAAAAATTTGAAAAAAATCATAAAAGCTAAAAATTAAAAATGGTTCGGTCATGACCTCAGTGATTTGGCATGGAATGTCCCTCATAACCGAAATCAGACGCCGTTGACTATTTTCCATTCCGCACAAAACGTTATCATTGAAAACAACCCAAAATGAGATAGAAATCACAGATTTTTGCGGAAATCTATAAACGTGGGTTTTGATCACAGCCAAACCTTATACTATTTGTGTAATCATTAGTAGCAAGGATTTCTACGCCTACATAAAAAGTACGCGTAATAAGACAATTTCGCCAGAACCCAAAAATCCCGTACCCCCTCGATAATTGTGTAGTTGTCAGAGTTATTTCAAAATGCTCGCAGGAATGCAGAACGAACCTGGGTGGAGTCAGCTCGGTCAAGAGTCAAGACACCGCTGTAGTCCGTACGAGGGGTACCCGAAGCCGTCTCGCTAATGGACCCTTCGCATGCGATCTTCAGAGGCGAGATAACACCGTTGGAGATAGCATCATCCGGCAGAAGGTGCGCCCCACTTAATATTTTAGCGAAATAGAGTACAGCTTACTCGAACGGACAACTTGTATATATATTTTTAAATGTTTAGAAATAATCTATACTTAACTTTATGTAATCATGTAGGGAAAATACAAGAAACCTCTGAGAGCCTATTAATTATGAACTATTACAGTTTGGCGCGAAAAATGAATATTTCAAAGAGATGTTTGCTGCCGTGCTAATTCGTGACGTCATTTAGTGCGATCAGCAATCGAGAAGAGACAGGTGCAGGACAGCTCGACAGCATGAGCATAGTAAGCAACAGAAGTAACAGCAAAAATAGTTTTTACAGTATCTTCTTCTTAATAACTACACCTGACGTTAATATGTTCAGTTTTGTTTCGTATTTCGTATTACAATGATATTACCAATTTGACTACTTTCTATTTGGAAGCTGGTAACAATGAAAACTAATAGTAATTGTTGAAATATTTTATAGTCTAAGCTCGATTCCTAATTTGTTTTCTGTTTTATTGTATGGTTTATTTATAATATGTGATGATTTATCAACGTTATGTTACGAGTAAAAGAAGTAAATCGATCATGGAATCATGGATGAGAAGTATTCTCTTCCGTTTATTTACATTCACATAAAACCGAAACTGTGATAAAAAAATGCCACTGAAAAAGTAAACAACGTATGTTTGAATCTGAAATTTCTTTCACGTAATGTAAAAATATTTTTGGAAAAAACAAAATTCACCAAGTTCAATTCATATTAAACTTTCTACACAGATTCGGAAGAAATTTCAATTCTGACGACAAATTGCATTTTTTTATAAACTAATTAAGCTGTTCCTACTTCTTTTCAAATTACTGAACATTTTCTTAAATCTCGCACATTTACTAAAAATCTGGTACATTTTTGTCACAGTTGTTCACAAAGTCAAAATCGTCTGGCAATACTCACCTAGAGTAGACGGCAGAGGACCAAGAAGCAGGTTGTGTTCTCGATCACACTGAATGACGTCACAATGCGCTTTTAATCACGTGTGACAAAATTTAAATTTTTACAAAATTTTAACATCTATAATGAATTTGTAAATAATAAATGAATTGGTTACTCTGTTAGTTGTTAAACTACAAAATGCAGAAATTAAATTTTCATACAAGTTGTCTAATAAACATTTTTATTGTTATTCACTCATAGGCGCCTTCAATAGCTAGTGAATGGGCAATTTCCCATTATAATTTATAAGAAAGGCAGAATATTGAACTCGAGAGTATATTGCCTACATGTATATGCCCGAGCACAACCACATCAAGCTGTCAATTTGACGATTTTTCTTGCAGTTCTAGGGTTTCTCAAGCCAAAATTCTACAGTATATGTACGAAATTTCGTCAGGGAGACGTTTTTTGTGTCAAATTTGTAGGTATTTTTTTTCCAGTAAACAAGAGTAGGTATAGTTTTTCCGAAGTCAATTGAAGAACCAATAACTTCAAGGTATGTATCAGGCTCGGTCGCTAAGCAGCAACTCGACATTGAAATATTTGAAAAACTTGTTCCCATATTTATTTAGCCATACCCATATACAGGTCTGGTCGAACTAAACGTGCAGGTGGTAGAAATGTATACTACCAGTTGAAGAATGCGAGCGCGGGCAAAGGAAAACAAAGACAGTTGCATTGGACTACTGGGAAATAAATCACAGCCGTTGACAAGTGGTTGATAAATTGCCCAGCAGTGCAGTGCAGGAATGCGGAATTTGGTGTGATTCAGGTAATTCTAATTTATTATAGGCACCTTCAATCATTCATATTAAAATTGCGAAAGGGAGAAATAAGAGGAATATTTTGTTTACTAATATTATCACAACATGGCATTTTGGAGACCTTTTGAAACGGAACGAAACGAAATTTACCACCAATATAATAAAATTGTTTTGAGGACATAAATAATTAAAATATGTTGTTGGCCAAATGAACATATAATAGAAATTTTCTACACATATACAAATTATTTTAATTTTTATACTTATTTAGGGACGCCTATGAAACTCATTAAATTTGATGCTCGTTTGTTTTATACATGTTCAACTAACTTCGGAAAGACTATACATATTAATTTAAACGAAAAAAAAACCAAATGCATTTCTGTGTATTCAGTTCAAAACTTATTTTTTTTTAATTTACTAGAATTATCGCACTGAATTATTTTTAAATTTTTAATTTTAATAAAGTACAATGCAGAGCAGATCTAGCAAAACAGACTTCACAATTAATATTGAATTTTTATGTCACACAGCATTCCAAAATGGCGTTTGATTCGAACATTTTTATATTAAACGTTAAAAAAAGGATTTCGGCTGAAGTATCTTCATAAATTTTAATAAAAAAAAATAAATAAATAAATAACATTGGTCGTTTTTAACAGCGATCGATTCCTTCAATATTTGATTAAAATTTTCCAAAAAAAGTTGTTTGTATTCATTTAAAAAAAGAATTTACAGAATGACAATAATTTCGATTATTTTTTGATTTTTCACATTTTCCGTTTAGTTTCCGATAATATAAATAACATAAAAAAAATAAAAATTCCAACCTTATGACTTAGATCGAGATATTTACGTTTTACTATTCGCCGTTGTTGGTTTTGTGGTGACAATACAATGAAAATGTTTAATGAAAGTTACAAATTTTTAGTAAAAAGTAGGAATGATATTCCCTCAATTTAACATGATCCTTTAATAGAAAACTTGTTAAGAACTGCTGACTTCACTGTGGTATTTACGCATAATATAATTAGTCTATTT